ATGGTAATAGGTGATTTTCACCTGTTTTAAAATTTGTCTTTGTTCTTATATCAGCTTCTCAATTACAAAAGGAATAGAAGTCACAAATATTTATATCAATGAATCAGGATGTTGATTACTATAATTTTGCTGGTTAAACCATATGGTACAATGGAAAATTCTTAATGGCATGATGGCCTCTTTGGATGGTGAAATGGCAGTATCCTATAAGTCAGTCTTGACCTAGCAATTTCAATTCTAGAAAGCTGTCTTGTTAATGTACTGGCATGTGTGCCTAGAGGCATACATGCTCAGTGATAATCATTGTAGCATGGTTTGGAATGGTAGATGGTGGGAAACAAACCAAGGTCCATCAAAACAAGACTGGTTAAATAAATTATGGTACATTTAGAGAATGGGATAATATTCAGCTGCTGAAATTACGATGTAGTCTGGTTTCCGGTCCAACATATATGAAGTTTGGAAGTCACCACACCACCCAAACAAGTAAAAAGCTGAACAAATAAAAAAATTAGCAACTCTTCTTAGATCTCTCAGAGAAGTGAGGTTACAGAGCAATCCGCTGCCGCTAAATTTGGAGAGACCCAACAGGGAATATAGAAAATCACAGCTTATTAGAGCAGAGCTGAAACCACTACAAGAACCAGTGCCAGGATAGAGAAACGAACTGTAATTGACAAATAGCCAGAGGCTCAGCATAGACAGGTCAGAGAGTTGAAGACTCCAGGGAAACCTAGTCATAGTCTTCCTTCCCCCACTTTTGTGTTTTAATTCCAGGGAGCTTTAACAGGTCCAGACAGTGAGTATCAGAGAAAAAAATCCTCCTATAATTCAGGCATGGGCAGGGGAAAAGTAACCATTTTTAAATACATGAGAGCATTCTGTTCTTAACAAGATCTGCCCCCAGGAGAAACTGGGGAGAGCCTAACTGACCTGAGGGAAGAGAAATACCAACCTCAGAAGGCTCTATATAGCCTTCTGTGTGGAGGAAGGGAAATAATCAATTCCAGCCCCTTCTAGTCTTGAACTTTTAAAACTACTCTTTAAAAATGTCTTTAAGAAAGTCAGTAGACTGTAGATATGTGGATATTTCTGGACTCTGAATTCTGTTCCATTGATCTTTATGTATATCTTTATGCCAGTAGAGTCTACAATTACCCTAGTTTTGTAGTAAGTTTTGAAAGTGGGAAATATCAGGTCTCCAAGTTTGCTCTTTTTTTGGAAAATTGTTTTGGTTATTCTGGGTTCCTTGTATTTCCATATGAATTTTAGTGTCAGCTGGCCAATTTCTGTAAGAATGCCAGTTGGGATTTTGATAGAGATTGCATTGAATATGTAGATCAATTTGGGGGTAAGATTTGGTCATCTTAACAACATTAAGTCTTATGTTTCTTGAACACAGAATGTCTTTCCATTTATTTAGGCCTTCTTTAATTTCTTTCATCAATGTTTTATAGTTTTCAGTGTACAAGTCTTACACTTCTTTTTAAATTTATTCTGTGTTTTTATGCTATTATATATAGAATTGTTTTCTGATTTCAGTTTCAAATTGTTTATTGCTAATATATACAAATACATTATTTGTATATTGATCTTGTATCCTGCAACCTTGCTGAACTTGTGATTCCTTAGGTTTTTCTTTATATGAGATCATGTCATCTGCCAATAGAGATAGTTTTACTTCTTCCTTTGAAATACAGATGCCTTCCATTTCTTCTTCTTTCCATACTATCCTGCCTAGAATCTGCGTGTCTTGTTAAATAGAAATGGTGAAAGCAGACATTCTTGTGTTAATCCTGATCTTAGGGAGAAAGATTTCAGTCTTTCACCATTGACTATGATGTTAGCTCTGTGTTTTCCATAGATGCACTTTATCAGGTTGAGGGAGTTCCCTTTTATTCCTAGTTTTATGGTGTGCTTTTTATCATGAATATGTGTTGGATTTTGTCAAATGCTTTTTCTATGTCTATGGAGATAATCTTTTGGGGTTTTTTTTTCCCTTTATTAATATAGTGTCTTACATTACTTGATTTTCATATGTTGAACCAACTTTGTATTCCTGGCATAAATCCTACATAGTCATGGTGTATAATTCCTTTTATGTGTTGCTGAATTCAGTTCACTATTATTTAGATGTACTGTATGTATATAGAGTACATGTATATGTACTCTAGAGTATGTATAAGCATCTATATACTTAGATGTATCTATGTATATAGATAACATCTATATTCATAAGAAATATTGGTTTGTAGTTTTCCTTTTTTGAGACATCGTTGTCTGGTTTTGTTGTTAGGGACTGGCCTCATAGAATGAGTTGAGGAATATTTCTTCCTTGCCTGTTTTTGGAAGAGTTTGTGAAGGACTCGTGTTAACTTTTTAAAGCTCTGGTAGAATTAACCAGTGAAGCCTTCTGGTCCTGGACTTTTCTTTCTGGTAAATTTTTTGACCGCTAATTCAATTTCTTGCTACAAGTCTATTCAGATTTTCTCTTTCTTCTTGAGTCAGTTTCAGTAGTGTGTGTCTTTCTAAGAATTTGTCCAGTTCATCTAGGTTGTCTAATTTGTTGGCATACAGTTATTCATAGTATTCCCTTATAATATTTTTATATTTATCTTTATTTCTATTTTTATATCTATAAGGTTGGTAACAAAGTACTCACTTTGATTTCTGATTTTGATAACTTAAATTCTTTTTTTTTTCTTAGTCTAGCTAGAGGTATGTCAATCTGTTGATCTTTTCAAAGAATCAACTTTTGGTTTTGTTGATTGTCACTATTGCTTTTTTCTTCTCTAATTTCTATTTTTAACTTTTTGAGGAACTAACATACTATTTTCCACAGTGGCTACACCAATTTACATTCCCACCAACAGTGCACAAGGGTTCCTTTTTCTCCACACCTTCGCCAACGCTTGTTATTTCTTGTCTTTTTGATTCTAGCCATTCTGACAGGTATGAGGTGATAGCTCACTGTGGTTTTGATTTGCATTTTCCCTGATTATTAGTGATGTTGAGTATCTTTTCATGTGTCTGTTGGCCATCTATATGTCTTCTTTGGAAAAATGTCTGTTCAGGTCCTCTGCCCATTTTTTAAAATTTTTTTTTAAAGATATTATTTGACAGAGAGACACAGCGAGAGAGGGAACACAAGCAGGAGGAGTGGGAGAGGGAGAAGCAGACTCCCCACTGAGCAGGGAACCCAATACAGGACTTGATCCCAGGACCCAGGGATCATGACCCGAGCCAAGGGCAGACACTCAATGACTGAGCCACCCAGGTGCCCCTCGTCTGCCCATTTTTAATCAGATTATTTGGTTTCTTGGTGTTGAATTGTAGAAGTTCTTTATATATTTTGGATATTAACCCCTTATCAGATATATCATTTGTAAATCATCTTCACCCATTCAGTAGGTTGCCTTTGTGTTTTATTGATGATTTCCTTCACTGTGCAAAAGCTTATTTTGGTATAGTCCCAATAGTTTACTTTTGCTTTTGTTTACCTTGCCTGAGGAGGCAGACATATCTAGAAAACTGTTGCTAAGGCTCATGGCAAAGAGATTACTGCCTGTGTTTTCTGGAAGTTTTATGGTTTCAGGGAGGGACAGTATATTTGAAGAGAAGCAAGACCTGGATTCTGTTTCAGTTGTGTGTGTAACATTATCTCTCTTACAGTTTGAGTCTCAGATTTTCCCATACACAGAAGAGAGGTGTGAATACATCTCCCCATCTATTCTGTAGGGCTCTGTGAACTAAAGGCTATTAGGTATGTAGAGGTGCTTTGGTCCCTTTAGAAGAAAAGCACTTAACTTCCTCAAGGCTTCATTATTGTTACTTCCAGTTCTATTTCCCATTGTGTGTCCTTGATCGAGCCACTGAACCAATTGCTTCTGTTGCTCCACCCAACACCCCCCCTTTTTCTCCAGCCGCCTCTATTTTTAAGGAAGAGACAATGCTCATTCTCCCCCATAGACATGACAGTAAATTTATTCTTATTTCCTTTTATTTTATTTTACTTATTTTATTTAAATTCAGTCAGTTAACATATAGTGTATCAGTTTCAGAGGTAGAGTTCAGTAATTCATCAGTTGCATATAACATGACAATAAATTTAAATTGCTTTACATGTGTTTAAAATTACTTGTGGGTGCCTGGGTGGCTCAGTCGTTAAGCGTCTGCCTTCGGCTCAGGTCATGATCCCAGGGTCCTGGGATCGAGTCCCACATCGGGCTACCCGCTCAGCGGGAAGCCTGCTTCTCCCTCTCCCTCTCCCCCTGCTTGTGTTCCTGCTCTCACTGTGTATCTCTCTGTCAAATAAATAAATAAAATCTTAAAAAAAAAAAAAAAATTACTTGAAGATATTCAGGAAAAACTGCTGTTGTTATTTACAGTTTGACTGGCAATTAGGATTATTTTGCACAAATGGAGTATATTTTAATGTAACCCCGAATGTGATTATTTGAAGTTTTTTTTTTAATATTACACATAATACTAGAAATAGAGTTTTGAAACCTCCTATAGTCCTTTGTATGTATCTCACCCTCCCTCCCTCTCTCTTCTTTTTTTGTCTAGTATCTCCTTAGCTCTATTAAATCCAAGCTTCTCTATGAAAAGTGGTTAGAACTCTCAGCTTTTTTGTTTAAATTGTGGTAAAATATACATAACATAAAATTTACTATTTTAGCCATGTTCAAGTGTACAATTCAGTGGCATTAAGTACTTTCACATAGTTGTGCAATGTGTGCATCTGTTTTTGAAAAATACAGATTCCATAGTTGCTGGACAATACTTGTTTTGTGAACCAATACTGTCATTAAAATTAACTAGTATGGACTGTACTGTTTTTCTGACTTATTTTGTGAAAGCTGTGAGTTTTATAAAATGAGGTCGGTGTTGATTTCAATAGTCACACTTCCTTTTCCTCATTTTATTTCTGAGAATGACCTAAACAACCTAATTGTTTATCCACAGGATGTTAACTCACATCTCTTTTGGTGTCGCAGGTTGCAAGGCAGGCAGGAATTAACTCGGGGACAGCCATGTCAAGAGGATTGTATCAACCAGCAACAATCTTTATGGGCTGCCAAATGTCAGCTGTCTCAAGCATTGGTTTCAGTACAGAGCAGAAATCTCCCCAGCCCACAAAGAACTTTTCAATTCCTGACCCACATTCACACCGACAGACAGCCCAGAGCGGTAATGTGACAGACAGCTATGTAGTACAAACTAATAGTGACACACAGCGCTTAAATGAGTCTGACAAAATAGATGGAAAGACATCTCTTCAGATTGGTGAGGAAACGCCAGTCACAGCCAGCTCATTGTCTGAGGAGGAACAAACTCATTGCTTGCAGATAGGAAGCAACACACGTCACGGTGAGAGTAGTTTATCTGAAGGCGAAAAGTCTGCTGAACTCCATTCCCTGTTATGGAAAAGATTAAGTCCAGAGAACAGAACCACTGATTTAAAGTGTGACAGTTCCAGCAGATCAGAGGGATCAGAAGGAGAAATACTGACACAGGAACATATTGAAGTCAAGGAAGAAAGAGCCAGACCTCCAGTCTCTCGGGTATCAGTCTCAGAATACTGTGCATCTGAAAATAAGTGTTCTCAAGAGAAGGATTCTGCTTGGGAAGGTTTCTCAGGTGGGGCGAGAGGCTGAGATTATTTGCTGATTTTTGTTGGTGTTCAGTTTTGGGGGTGGTAGCAGTCTTACATAAGAACAACATACACTTTAATTTTATCTCTGTCAAAAAAGCAAACCAGGGACTTGGCCAACAAATTCTATTCTAATGAATTCTTGAATATAGACAGGAAATACTTTTGCAAGCTTATTTGCTGATTTTAAAACCGACTGTGATATTTTTAATGATTTTTCATGTACTGTAATTAGTTGTGGATTGTTTCTACATGTTTTTAGCTGAGTAATTCTGCCTGTGAGGCAGAACGTGTTTACCTCGTTTCTCCCTGAAGTTAGTGATTGGAAATCTATTCATATCCCCTCTTACAGATCATCTTCCTCCCAGGGACCCGGAGTCACAGAAACCCTTCAGAAAAATGCAGGAAGAGCAGGTGGAGGAAAGTTTGAGCAGCAGTAGCAGTGACCTCACAGTCTCTGTCAGTGAAGATGATCTCATTTTCAAGAGTCCAGAACCACAGCCAAATCCAAGTGACAAGATGGAGGGAGAAGATGGAATAGAGGCCTTAAAATTAATCCACTCTGAGCAAGAAAGAGATGCCCTATCCACCGAAAAACATAATTGTATTTTGCAAACCCTAAGCTCTCCTGATTCAAAAAAGGAATCCTCCACTAACTCACCAATAAGAGAGTAAGCCATTCAATTTTTTTTTTCTTTTTTTACAGTTCTGTTTTTAATTATAGACATTTTTAGAGACCCTTCCACCGGGAATGTATTATTGAACCCTCAGCCATGAATTCGTAAGTTCCTTAAGTCTCATAAACAGTCTTTTGGATAAGGTCTAATTTTCTTTCTTTTCTTTTCTTTTTTAATGAAATAGCTTTAAAAGTCTGAATATCATTGAATCATGGTGGATTGGCAGTTTATAATTATATCCAAACAATCCCTAGTTAATTCAGAAGTCATGCCCCCCCAAACCCTGCCTTCCAGCCTTTTAGAAAATAAATCATTTTGAAGTTCTGGTAACACAGAAAGTGACAAATAGTTAAACTTACTAGGAGTTCAGCTTTAGAGGCTAAGAACTTTGTACTAATTAATTTGCTTAATCCTTCTATTCCTTGCCACGGTGTCTTACGGTTAAATATGAGTTTGTAAGTTCTGCTAAGAGTATTTCTTTAAATATTTTTATTTATTTATTTGTCAGAGAGAGAGAGCACAAGCAGGGGGAGCAGTAGAGGGAGAGGGAGAAGCAGGCTCCTCACTGAGCAAGGAGCCTGATGTGGGACTCGATCCCAGGACCCCGGGATCATGACCTGAGCCGAAGGCAGACACTTAACGACTGAGCCACCCAGGTGTCCCTCTGCTAAGAGTATTTCTAAGTCAGCTTTCCTTTTCTGAATGTAACTATGAGGACATTGGAATCTTTAATGTTAAATAGGAACAACATTAGTGTTATACATTCTGAGCACTTACAATATCCACATCATAGGGGCACCTGGGTTGCTCAGTCGATTGAGAGTCTGACTTTTGGTTTCGGCTCAGGTCATGATCTTATGGGTCGTGTGATAGAGCTGGCTTAGCATTGGGCTGTGTGCTCAGTGGGGAGTCTGCTTGAAAAATTCTTTCCCTCTGCCCCTTCCCCCACTCACGCACGCACTGTCTCTCTCTCTCTCTAAAATAAATAAATCTTTAAAAATATAATATCCAACTCATAAAAGCTCATTTATGATTTTTTACTACTGACTTATATAGAGAGCATAGAAACTGTTAGAAAAGCAATTCTGCAATAAAAAATAGCATCACATCTCTTGTAGGGGTAGAAGGAACCTAAGATAGATCTCATCTTTTAAAAATGAGGAAACCAAGGCCAAGGACATAGGAGTGACACTTGAGCCATTGGGGCAGACCTTCTATACAGCCTGCCTCCCCAACCTCCACACTACCTCCAGAATTTTCTTTTATACTGCAATGGTGTCACTGTTTGTTTTCAACCATCTCAGCAACAGTGAAAAGCTAAGTGGGCATTCTTGTGTATCAGGGTATATATTCTCTTTTAGAGTACTTTGTCCTTTTCAATATATTGCTTTTTGCCATTCATAATCTACTTACGTGAAAAGTTTAATTATAGTCTGATTGACTCCAAGCTGGCATTCAAGAAATATTTATTAAGAGCACCCCCAAGTACAAAGTACTTGCACTATGGATGGAAGAACTGACAAGTTTCCTGTCCTGGTTTATTGTGGAGGCAAGCCAAATGGATTTTTCTAGTCATAATACTTCTCTCCCATCAAAGAGGTACAGATATTACATACTACGTCATCAGAAACTTTATTACTAGAGATAAAATCATCTATTTTGGGTTTTGTATTCACAGGCTTCTTTTTAAAAGCAATTTATTGGCCAAGTTAGTACTTTGGTAGGCTAACCAGGGGGCTAGTGTACTTACTCAGGATTCAGTCTTTTTCTGAGATGAAAAACATTGAGTGTATGTGTGGAATTAAGAGCATTCTATCTCCTTTTCTCCTATATGAATGTCTTTTTCCTATGACCTTAAAGCCAAGCTCCTTGGAATTTTGGGATATAGTTTTCCAAAATTTATTGGTAAATATGGGCATTTGGGGAATTTTTAAATATTTGCCTTAAAAGAATGCCCAGAATGAAAGGTCAGTCAGGATTGGCTGATGTCTGTGCTGTCAGATTTGAGCCTATTGATTTTTTTGTGGTGAAAGTACTCCCCACTAATAGGTTGGAAGTGGTTTTAAATGATGCTGGTTAACCTGCTGACATTCCCACTGCTTTTGAGGCCCTACTTTCTCTTATTTATTCTTTAGCATGAGCTACTCTTCTTTGCTCTGAGGCTTAATCATTAATCTGAGGCTATAATCATATTTACAGAGCTGACACTGTGACCTCAAAGGTTCATTATCTCAGTTTACTTTAGGGTCTTTTGGGGGCTTGGAGAAAAGTCATTTGAATGAATTTTAGTTAAAGATGAGGAGGTGGGACAAAGGCAGACACATAGGAAGATACGAACAGAAAACTGGAACCTCTGATGATGATAGTTACTATGTTTTAGCACATCTTTGTGCCAGCTGAATTGCTGTGTTTGGACATAAAACTTGTCTTTAGCTTCCTGGCAATAAAGGTGAAAAGAGGAGTGCAGTATGCTGAATAGCTTCCATCTGAGAGGAAAAATGAAGCCAAGGATTATTTTGTGTTGTTTTGTTTAGAAAAAAATTGAATGGCTTTTTTGAAATATAATTCACATACCATACAATCCACCCATTTGAAGTGTACAATTCAAGGGTTTGGGGTATATTATGTTACTGATTTGTAAAAATTGTGCTATAATATAAAAAAACATTTGAAAAGTACCATCTTAAGCATATAATTTAGTGACATTCACCATACTGTGCAGCCGTCACCACTGTCTATTTCCAAAACTTGTTCCTCACCCCAAATATAAACTCCATAATCAATAAGCCGTAACTCTCCATTCTTTCCTCCTCCCAGTCTCTGGTAACCTCTGATCTACTTTTGTCTATGAATTTGTCTATTTAATGGTAGTTACACAATATTTAACCTTTTGTGTCTGGGTTATTTCAGTTAGCATAAGATCTTTAAGGTTCATAACATGTTGTTGCAAATATCAGAACTTCATTTTATTTTATGGCTAAATAACATTCCAGTGTATGGATATACCACATTTTGTATATCCATTCATCTGTTGATGGATACTTGGGTTGCTTATACCTAAAAACCAAGTGTTTTTGAGAAGCTTCATGACCCAATCCCATGGATACTTCCAGACATTGAAAACCAGGCTGTGCTTCATGCACAATTCCTTCATCACAAGTTATAATTAACCCTTCTCACAAGAAAGCATACTAAAATGAAGCTGAGGAAAAAAAATCTTGTCAAAAAGGAGGACCTAGAATTTTGCTTTTCAAATAGTTTGCTGCAAATGTTGGTACAAAGCACCATGACTTAGAACACCAGACATTTATTACTTTCATGTATTAGGTGGTTGGCCCAGTGTCAGTTGGGGCCACAGGGATAATTTGGCCATGTGCCCCTCTTCATCCAGGAGAGTAGTTCACCCTGTCACCTGGTGGTGGTAGTGGAGTTCCCAAGAGAGCAAGACAGCAAGCCCCAGAGCCCAGATGCTTTTAGTGTCTTGCCTGAGTCGCATTCGCTAGTGTACTGTGGCTAAAGAAAGTCACAGGCCCCAGTCCAGCGTCAACAGATGGAAAAGTGAAGAGGTCCATCTCTTGATAGGATAAGTGTCAGAGTCACATTACAAAGCGGGGGCAGGGGGGATACACAGGGAAGGGAAGTTTATGGTCACTTTTTGCAAGCCACCACAGTACTTTAGGACAAATTCAAATGAAGATAAGCTCAGTGTGAGTCCAAAGGGCAAGAAAGGTTTTGCATAGGTGTTGATGCAGCATCTTGAAGGCTGTCGAGGCTTCGATTCAGAAGGAGGTGGAAAGAGGTGAGTTAGGTCTGGAGGAAGAGTGCGGGAAGGCACGTAGATACAGAGCACACAGAGGGCAAGGGAGGACAGAGCAAAGGGGGTGACTGAGGCCCACTGAACAGGACTCCTTGAAGTAAAGGTTTAAAATGGTGCCTGAGGTGTGGCCGGGAACAGGCCTAGAATATCAGGTTAATGAATTTAGAGTTCATTTTCTACCTTTTGCACAACGCTGAAGGGTCGACCGCTGAAGGGTCGACCATATGGTGAGTAACTTCACTTAGGGGAATTAATCTGACATGATTAGTTTCATCAGAAAACTAATCATCCTCAAGGTAAGCAGAATTCTGAGGTGGCTCCCAAGAGTCCTGCCTCCTGGCATGCATTCTGTATAATCTCTTTGCCTTGAGTGTAGGTGGGACTGTGCATCTGATGGATTTCCCTCCCATGATTAGTCTATGTTATATGACAGACATGAAGGATTTTGCAAATATGATAAATCCCAAATCAGTTGCTTTTGAGCTAATCAAAAGGGAATTATCCAGAGTGGGCCTGACCTAAGCAGATCAGCCTTTAAAAGGGCTTGGGTCTTTATGAAGTCAGAGATTCAAAGCAGCTGATATACTCTCCTATTTGCCTTGGAAAAGCAAACTGCCGTTTGCGGAGAAGGCCACATGGCAGGAAATAGTTCTTAGGAAATTCATTTGCCGACAACCAGTGAGCTTGGAGGAGACCCAGCATTAGACAAGATTGCAGACCTGGCCAGCACCTTGATTTCTGCATGGTGACACTGAGCATAAGACTCCACTTGCCTAGGGGCGCTGGGTGGTTCATTTGGTTGAGCATCTACCTTTTGGTTTCGGCTCAGGTTTCAATCTCAGGGTGGTGAGATCCAGCCCTGTGTTGGACTCTGCGCTCAGGGGGAATCTGCTTGGGATTCTCTCTCTCTCTCTCTCTCTCTGCCCGTCCCCCTGCTTACGCGCCCACACTCTCTCTCTCAAATAAATAAATCTCTTTTTTAAAAAAAGACTCCACTACCCTAGACCCAGGCCTCTGACCAAAAAGAATTGAGATAAGTTTGTGGTAGGTGCAGAATTTGTGGTAATTTGTTATGCAGCAATGGAAAATTAATATGATCCAATTAAAGAATTGGAATCAAGGATCGTATCTTTGCAAGGATTGTATGGGTAGAAGTCACTACTCATATTGACCCAAG